TGACAGAAGGAAAGTATTTACTTTAGGATTACACTTATCCCCATCACTCTTTTGGGCCTTCACCTACTGTCTTTTCATTAAGAAATAAAATATAGAACAAAATATTTTTCATCTCTAAAATGCAGCATGTGTTTATAATAAAAATAAAGATCATATTACAGCCAGTCCATTCACATGAAAGAGCATCCTAAAGCTTTTGATTGCAATTTTTTATATGTCAGCCCCTGCCCATTAAATGCACCTGTCTAGACTTTCATAAATAAGACTCATAAAAAGCCATTACACAGAAATGTTATTGCTGAAACTTATGATTTAAAACAGCTCATTACTTCAATATATTCTATTTAGCATTCTAAAGACCATCTACATCTAAGGAGCTGGTAACTGGCAGCAATTATCCACCTTATTAACTGCTATCATATGGAAAAAACCTCAGAAAATTTAGATTTCCACATACATTGAACTTCATGTCATAAGAAAACTAAGGCTGACATTCTTTATGGGATGAAGGAGAACCATTGGGGCACAATAAAGAAAAAAAATAATTCAACTGCTACAACTTGCCCAGCCTCACCCATTTCAGCTGCTGTAATTCAATAGACATATATATCTACATTTTTTAGCACTATTTTGTCACTCAAACAGCTTCAATCTTTTGCTCACAGAGGGTTTGAATTACAGTCATTCCTTATTTAAGTATGTCTCAGTCTCACATTTCTGAGGCAAAAGCCAGAAAATACTAGTTATTTTTGCCTATTTATATGCACAAGTTCTTACACTAACATCTTTTAATAGAAGGATGCAGTAAAATGTGCCAAATTCATTTATACGAGGCAAATCCATTCACTAAAAAAAAAATGAACAAAACAAAGCCCCCATGGTTAATATTTTCTATTTTGTTTAAGTGAATAAATACCATGACAAAATAAAGTCTAAGAACAAGTAAGTAATTTAGTTTAGATACAAACATACTAAGAATGAGGAAAATTTACATAACAATATAGCATTTAGAGAGATCTCTTACAGGAGAATTACATTAATATCCCTAAGCTACTTAAAAGAGGGACTGAATTTATCAAGATGCAAACGTATTTCAAATTGAACAGACTTCCATCTGCACTACAGAATTTTTGTACCACAGCATTTCAAAGTGAGCATGCTACCATGTGTGACTTTAAAGGAATTTTTTAAAGGAAAAATTGAAAGTTAAGAGTAAAGAAGACTCTTTAAAACCCCTTCCCCAAAACTGGATTACATACAAAAACAAGCTTCCAATAGTGTGATAGATATGAAAACATTTTCCCAGGTTTTGTCATAACAACAAAACAGCAAGAACATACATATTGTTCATCAATTTGGTTTTGTGGGAGAAGGAAAGAGATCTTTAAAGAAAATATAAATATCTTTTTACTGTAATTTACTGCAGTCATTGATCAACGAATGGAAAACAGAATGCTCGCTTTTCTACAGTTTGCAGAGTCATATAGTGTTTCTGCAAATGAGAATTTTCTCTGTAACACAGCTATTTGTTAGTCCAACCAAACTACTGAAGTCAAGAGAGACACTGTGTTGCTTTGAATGGCTTTTTTTTTCCATATTTAAACACACAACACACCAAGTGCTGATATCAGCTTTAAGCCCAAAATGATCCTTTTAGTCAACATTAGTGCCTACAGTTTGTTTCCCTGTTATACAAGCTCACGAGTAACAGATGAGAGCAGATACCACAACCTGGACTGCTGAAATATTCCATTTATTTATCTTTACCAGTTTAAGTACTTTCTGAAATAAACGGAATTTTTTCAAAATTCACATTTTCTTGTATTTTTCATTGTTACTGTTAGGATGAAAGATGAACAGCTCAATTTTTTTCAATTTGAAATTTAAGCATATCAATTAAGCCTTCAACCAAAATGACTATCAGACAAGTACAAATAATTCCAACTGAAATACAAGCAATCTCACCAGTTCTGGTTTGTACTAAATCTTGGGCAGTCAGACAGGCAATGGCTGTACCACCTTTTTAAGGCCAGAGCACTCAGCATAACTTGTCAGCTGAAGTGGCTATTTCATGTCTAAACCATGACCCTCAAAAATAGACTTACACTGAGTATTGGCTGCAGATCTGATACCTGTAGTAAAAAATTGTGCCTTAAAATGAAGTACTGGTAATGTTTAAAGTGGAGATGTGTGCTCTCAAGAGCACTGCTCTGATTTATGACAAAGCTGATGTTCCCATAACAGATTGCCTCCCTAAACACTCATGCCACACATCTTAACTGTGGGAAACTTTTGCCTGTAAAGAATCAGGTTTAATTTTTAAAAGTGCTCACTTTCTGTCTTAGCAACTCACATTTCATGGCAATTCTTTTGCAAAAGCACAGGTTGTTATCCAGCCTCCAACAGAAGAAAAAGGTGGGGGGAAAGTAAAGAAAGCTTGCTTTTAGTGCTTCTTTTCTTGCTTTGTGTACCAATGTCTGCAAATTAAATGATTTCATGAACATTTAGAAGAAAAATTTTGTTGCTTGAATCAGGTGATGGCATGAGAACAGAGCTGATCAGCACAAAGAGCAGACTCAGCCATTCTAGTGCTCAGTTTGCCCAGTTCAAAAAGAGGGGAGCTATGGCACGAGCAACCACCTGCTCTATATGCATCCTGTTAAAGGACTCAGAGAGGCTGATCATCACAATGAACATTAGGGAATGTTTATTCTGGAAATCTGCCCAATTCAGATATAATCTCTGGCTATTATCACAGTATCACCTACACTTATTTAAATTCCCCTCAATCCTATGGATTTAAGGCTATTGTTTTTGTAGCTTCAAGGTAACAGATGGTGCAAACTTGTAATTCACAGAAATCCTACCAGCACAGCCAGCTGGAAACTGGTTTGGGTTTAGGAAGAACTGCTTGGGAAGCCACAGAAGTCACACAGGTAATGCTTCAAACTATCTATACTCTTATGGAGAAAATAAACCCACAAATAACCCATCAAGAACCGGAAATGACTGTATGTATGAGACCTGTGGGGGGAAAAAATGAAATAGTATAAAGGAAATTCAACAACTGAAGCCATTTTAAATGCAGTTATGCATGAACACCAATAGAGCTGAGTTCTTCTGAACTTCAATTTGCATTAAAAATATGTAATTTTCACTTAATCTTGACAATTGCTTAACTGAAACTGGGTTTTTTTCACAGAATGGAAATGTCATGAGTGTTACTGTGAGTAAAATAAATGGATAACAGCATTGAATTCCTCTGTCTCCTCAGGTTCTGAATAATTATTAGGAATCCACAGGAATTGCATTTCATTGTGCCTGACAGATTTTATATGATACATTTTTCTTGTTGAGGTAAAATTAACTGAACAACAAAGCAACTGTCTTTGAATACAATGGAATTACAATAATTTAGGTAATGACTCAGTAAGAAATTAGTAAGAATTTTTTATGAAGGAATGAAAACAGAGAGAAGTTAATTGAGACCCCCTCAAATGATGCCAGGAAACTGAGGATACAACTTCACAATGTGATGATAAAGGCAAGATGCAGAAACTGCCAAGGGCAATATGAAATATTGACAGAGTATTTTAGCACTCCGAGTCCAAGTGAAAACTCTAAGAAAATATGCAATAAAACACAACTGGTCTGTTTCTGAAACATGGCAGGCAGGTTGAGCTTCAAACATTATCAGGAGTCATTAGGAAAAAAAAAAAAGGAGAATAATTACATGGTCTCCTAGACAAAACAATCTACAATCCCCAAGTTTCTTTCTCAGTTGTGATAAATCAATCCCCAATTAAAGAATAATGAAATTGTTTCTCAAATGATCTGGAAGAAGCCTGGCAACACTATCAAGCATCTGGAAGGTGCAGATCTGTTGACAGCAATGTTACAATTATCTACAAGAGGAAATACAGCAGTCCTTAAGAAGAGCACATGCTATGGGTTTAAGCTTATGTCCTCCTGCTGTTTCATTCTATTTTGCAGCCTTTGTAAGTGTGATTCCTTTTGTGATCATGTGCTGATATTCTGAACTGCTTCTCTTACCTTGATTCATCTGGCTTTAACCAACAAATTCACTGGACACACAAAGATGCAGTGAAGCTGTCATTTCATCTTGGCCTAAGCACGCAGATTCCTTTTATTTCCAGGTTCGATATTAATACCAAAGCACAATTTTTTGTTATAAAAACCAAATATTAACCTCATTAACCTCAGTCCCACTGAGGTTACGCCTACTTATTCATGCAATAACCGCACGAGCCACACTTAAGGACCTTTAGTAGAAAACATGGAAAATAAAGAAATGAGATCTATTTTGAGATTTTCTACCTTACAAACAAATGGGGGAAACAGCAACAAAGCTGTCAGGAAAAGAAGCTTCATCCCTAATGCTCCTTCTGAAGACTTATGTTTAAACAGTCCATGAAAAGAAACTAAGCAAGCCACAGGAGCAACATATATAACTCTGAATATTTAGAGCTTTGATATTGTTTTGGAAAGCACACCATTTCAGATTGCTACAAATCCAGAATAGCTTCAGCTAAAAATACCCTGCTGCATGAGATATTTCAAGTATATTAAACACAGTTTAAAAAACAGCTTCTCCAAGAATAAGACCCCAATGAATATATATAAAGAAAAGCCACTGACTCTTTTAAGATCTAAAACCCTCCAGCACCTCCTTTGGTGTGTGCAGGCAAAAAAAAGAAAACAGAATGTGTATTTTATGTTTATGTATTTATATGTGTGTGTGTGTGTACACGCATCCTGCAACAAATAATATATGAAATTCAACTTCAGCCTTAGAATGCAGAAAGCTTTGTAACTACCAATCAAGAATTCTTTGCTCTGTACATCTCCTAGAAGGCTGCTCATTTTTATCAAGATAATTCAGTGCAATAATTAAGTTTTTCCTTGTAAATTTCTTAATATGCTAAAGAATTTTTACAGGACATATATGGAGACAAAGAAATAGAAGCTAAATTGCTTACCTTTCTTCCTGCTAAAAGCACGATTCATCTTGAAAAACCTACCCAGTCAATGATGGTTCTGGGTTTGTTTTTTTCCTCCCCACTTTAACCTGCAGAACACATATAAGAAAACAGAAAATTCCATTATTATAGTTGAAGTTCTAATTATCTTCATATTGAGGACACTGCAAATGACCTTAAGAATTCTGAAATAATTCTGAGAAAACAGGGATGTGCTTTGCTGAGGAAAAAAATTCAGCATTGAGAAGACCTATGTTCAAAACACCCATTGGTGCTTCATACCAAAAGACATTTTAAGGTTCCTTTCCTCTCCTGAAGAGTTCAGAGGCACAGAGCAGGTGGCATTAATATACATGAAGACAAATACCACACACAAATAGGTTGGAAAGCAAGCTTAAAAATGAATGCTGACTACAAGACTCCATAAAAACACTCAGTTCACATTTGCGCTGCCTTGGTTTGTGTCATTTAGGCTGTCAGATTATTTCAAGCTAGGCTTTCATCTTCACATGAGCTTGACACTGGGGAAAGAAAGTAAAAATCACAATATAGAGACTCTTCTTCACTCAGGGTCTCAATACAGATAAAATTGCTTTCTATCAGTGCTACCACATCCTTACTCCATTTTCTTCAGATCATACAGTAATTTCTGTATTTTCTTCCCTTGAAAACATGGATCCACTCTTAAATTCTTATTTAATTTTTGATTCACAATACTATTTTTTAATTTTATTATTTGCCAACATTAAAAAAACCAATAAAATCCACTACACCCAAAGCTATTCAGCACCCTCCCATTCTGCACTACAGAGCTTTTACTTTATAAACACATGTAAAGATATTCCCATTACTACTTTTCATTCTGTTCAGACCTTCCAAGCAATAGTTGCATCAGTGCCCTTTCTCTGCTCTCCACACAGTCCAGTCAAAGGAAAAGAAAAAAAGAGGGATGGTAAAAAAAGAAAATCAAAACACTTTGCTATCAGATGATTTTTTTAATCAACTAAAACAGTATTTTTGCTTTGAATAAAAACAAAACTTAGGCCAGTAATTCAAATGTCAGCTTTAAGATGAGAAATTCATTTATGATACTTTATGCATCTCATGAATGCTTCCTGTGGTGCTTACCTTTCTTTTTCAAGTAACTTCAATGCCAATTAAAGCAAATTGGATTGAAGCATTATCCAAATTTCCATGTAAATATTTGATACTTTTCAGGTTGGAACACATGGGAGATTACAGCTAGGGAAAAAAAAACCACTAAAAAAACCCCAACAAAACAACAAAACCTCAATTTTATTTTCCACTAATCACTGATGCAAAGGACTTCACACAGTCCTTTGAGAATGAAGGAGCAATCTCTGTTTAATGGTTTAAATAAATTCACACAGCACCATGGACATAAAAACAATCACTTGTTTCTTAAAGCACAGGTACCAGATCACTGTTTTACAGATTTTAATGAGCATTTAAGGAGAGAGGGCACAGCACAATAAGCACAGAAAGGAGTTATCCATGTATGTCCATGCCATGATTTCGATACAAAGCCCAGAGAGTGCATTTGGTGCCCAGCAGTTCAACCAGCAAGGCTGGGGAAACCTCACCCACCCTCACAGCATCCCCTGCCCGCACTATCAGCAGCACCACACGGAAAGCTGTGCATGTACAGCGGGCAGGGAAACCAAAAAACACCCAAGAGGACTCTCAAGTTCTAGGAATGGTTTCAGCAGCATCCCTGGAAAGGGCAGTGGCATTAATGGGGGAATTCCAACACTCATCAGTGTCCCCAAAAGCTGAGAATGCACAAGCAGCTCTCCTGGCAGGGCAGGCACCTTGTGGGGTTTTCACCAGTGTGAGGACAATCAACTCAGTTGAAATAAAGTAATAAGGAGGAATATTAGAATTTCATCTTTTTAAACAACTGCAAGTGTGTTTAACTTACAGGTTTAACACAGAAACCTATTAGATATGCTTAGGATATATAAGCAGTAGCACAACTTTGTTCAGGATGTTCATCCTCATGAATTATCACAGTCAGTTTTGAGTAAAAAACTTCCTTTCCCCTCTAAGATATCTCTGTCACACAGCACCAGGCCAAACACTTTAGTTCTCCTCCATGATAGGACCATAACATGTCCTTTTCAGAATGCCTTTTGTGTATTCCTGTCCTCATCCAAGAGACTGCTAAGGAACATATTTGAGATGGTTACTGCATAGAGCATCTTCTAAATAGAAGCTCTGCAGGCACATCACAGGGCAGCTGGCTGGCCACATTTCTAGAGGTCACCATTCAAGTATCTTGTTTAAAACACAGTGTAACTAAGTGTATGTTTCTTCCTCATGAGCAAGGATATATTACCACTGATGTAACCTATGATAATAAAAGCCAAAATTTATCGATTACTTAGCTAAAAATGGGCAATATTTCCAAAACTATGTTCATAATTTCAATTCTAACAAAACATTAGTAGAACAAAACACAGATGTGGTTTAGGCAACAAACAATATCAAAACACTTAATCAGTGTACTTCCACTTCACACAGAAAACGTTATTACACAGGGAAACAGAATTAGCTACATGCAACCACATTTAAAATTCCTGCAAACTCTGATATGAACATCACCAACCTCTCAGACACTCAAAAAGCAGATGATTAAATGCTACATAAAATTTTGCTATTTACAAAAGACCAAGCCCAACAGCACAAGGTAAATTTCAATCTCCTCAGTGAGGCTTGGGGCACAAGGGTAGTTATCAGACTTGTACACAGCACTGCTAATTTTTCAATCAGAAAAGCAAAGTTATGTTTTGACATATCCTGAAATATCTTTGTTCATAATATTCCAATGACAAATAATAAAACTCTTAGGAGCAAGGAAGCTGTTCTCTGGTAATGGAAGGTAGGCAGTTGTTTTTTGGCAAAAAACAATTGAGTTTCTGACAAATCTCATTATACAAAACCACTGGAACAGAGCAGTCTGTTAAAAGCTTTGTAAAGAGCCCAAAGGAAGGCAAGTAAAAGAATCCCTTTCTGGTGCAGGGAGCCCTGTGCACAAGGGCAGAGTCCTCCCTAAAAACCACTTGACTTTCTAGGGTAAAGCTGTTGTTAACAATCAGAGGCATTAGGGAATAGGAATGTAGACCAAGCCATTCCATTACTCATCACTGAGGAAGACACACCTAGGTAAAAAATGTTTCTCCACCTTACTCCTAAGAAGAGTTTTTTTCAGCTTTGTCCAGAAACCAAACCCTACTGGGAAATAGAAAACCTACACAGGATTTCACAAAACAGTTAACTGAAAAAATGTGGAGTTCTGACAGGTACAAAATAGGGAAAATCTGGGTAATATCAGGTTATTTCCTTCAGGACAGAGATAAAAGAAACAAAAAGAAAAAAAAGAGAGAAAATGCTTATAAAATAAATTTATTGCACTAAAATTTTTCAGTGACAGAGAACACCCTGAGCAGGAGACGTGACACCCACAGTCTGAACACTGCCATGGGCATATGTTGTGGGCAGGTGAGTGTTTAAGCTGTCATATCAAATTTCAAGCAGTCACAGAGAAAGCAAACACCATCTCCTTTTTTCTTCACTGCCATTAACCCCTTGGTTTGCATGGTGAGGTCTTGTCACAGCAAGGAGGAAACTGCAGAATTGTAAGGGGTGCAACGAAACAAGTTGGCCTTGGCGACCGTGGTGTTGGCAGGTATTTGGACTGGGGAATGCAAGGGTGGCAGAGATTACTGAGTAATTCCTTTTTAACACTGACACTCATGTTGGTGACTGTCTCCTGCCTTATGCAGCAAAGGCAGTGAACACTGGAGTGGCAGACTTCCAGCTGCCAGCACAAGCAGCCCTCGCTGCCTGCTGAAACAACACTGAACTTCCACACAGGCGCCTTCACACGCCTGCAGGCTCCTGCAGAATGCTGGGGTTTGATATGTTTTCTAAATTTAGAGCTGTCTCAGACAAGCCAAGAGAACACACTTAGGAAGGGAAAGAAACGAGCCATGAATGTAACTCATCTCCTTTGTCTCTTATTTCCTCTTAGAAATATTCCTGAGGACTTATTTGGAGTTTCCCTCCCAGTCAGTCCCTTTGAATGGCACGGGCTATAACAACTACCTAGTCTGAATCTTTGATTTTATACCTCTTTTTCATTCCACAAAAAATTACAACAAAACCTCCCTAAAAAGTTCAACTTCTACCCATCCACTCCCCATTATAAAAATACAAGTCCAATCTGTCCCTTCCCTTGCACACACATACAGCTTCCCTACAAAGGCAAATTTAGCTTCAGAAGACATGAAGATTTGTCTCTTCCCCATCTTAGATCCCAGCCTTTAAAGCAAACTGGGTAACATTCCTTAAAAAATGAAGCACAAAATGTCTTAAAGCCTGTTTCAAAAGGGCCGCAGCAGACAGGAATGTGTGATTCATTGACTTGAAATGAAACTTAAGCTTATAAAGTTATTTCTGAAGGAAAGATGAGAAACTGGAATATAATAACAGCTTTGTAAATATTTTTCTGATTTAGACCAAAACTCCATGAAAATACTGCCTTAGTATGGGGCATAAGAGAGAAAAAAATTATAATACAAGACTGCCTTAGGTAATACACAAACCCAAGTAAACATCTTAATATTAGGAGGCACTTTCTTTTCCTTTTGTATGAAGGTAACTACAGTACTAACTTGCCAAAACCCTTTTTCCTCTGAAACAGTAAAATCATTTAAAAATGACACCTCAATGAACATATTCAGGTGCTGACCCAAACATGCACTGTCATGCTAGGAAAGCAGCACTTTCAATCATGGTTATGAAAACACATATGCTCTTTATGTTTATAAACATAATACAACAGTCTGTAGGACTGTAAGCCACAAGAGCATTTAAATAGAATTTAGTACTACAAAAACATGCAGGAAAAATAACTCAAAACTAACACAGCTCCATGGGCTTCACCAAAATTGAAAATCTTTCTGTCAACTGAAGTTCTTAGCCTATGCTTGTGCTTTACAGTTCACAGAAGCACAAATGGAGAATAAAGGAAAACATTCAGTCACTGGAAAACCTTATTTTTATG